GGAGAGTATATAGTTACAAATCTTTTCTGAGAGAGATGTTTGCTATTGGGCATGTGTGATCCACCAGAGAGACAGAGACAGAAAGTGAGAAGTCACCCCCCAAGGGGGATGACCATGCTGCAATCTCATCTCCATTCCCCTCTCAGGATTTTAGGCATGCATGCACACACACTAGGCATGAGTTTCAAGCCACCTGGCCCAGGACTCAAACTGCAGTCTGCCATATGGGAGTCCGGCGATGTAACCCTTATGCCATCTGTTGGTCCTGGCCCTAGTTAATTTTGGAACATATATTTAACATCTTATTTGGAAGATTTTTGTTGTCAATGAGTCTTCAATCTAATCTTTAAAGGGGAAAAAAAAAGAAAAAAAAAAACCAAGGAATGAAATGTATTGTCAGAGACTGGTATAAAAAGAACTTCCTGCCCCTTAGCACAGCTGATAAGGGAGCTTGTGTTCCCCCCACCCCCGTGGCCCACTGAGATTGGAATCCTGATCCTTGCAACTTGAAAAATACACTGGGGGGCCAGAAGGGGGGTGGAAGGGGATTGGTGGTTAAAATGGCTAGATCCCACCTGGCCGACTGTGTGATTGGAGTCCCAGACCCAGCAGCTTATAAAACACATTGGGTGCATGCACGTGAGTGTCCAAAATCCTGAAAGAAGGGAGATGGAAGAGAAGGGGTTGGGGTGTGACCATCCTCCATCAGGGATGTTTTCTTGCTTTCTCTCTTCCTCTCTCTGTCTCTCTCTCTCTCTCCAGAGGGCATGTGCCCTTTGGCAAAATTTTGAAAAGAAAGAAAAACACACTGCGTGCAGGGACCAGCAGTTGGCGTGATGGCTATGTTGCTGGACTCCCATGTAGTCGACTGCAATTCGAGTCCTGAACCTGGTGGCTTAAACTCACACTGGGCAAAACAAAACAAAACAAAACAAACAAACAAAACCTCACACTGGGCACATGTGCATGTGTGCTCAAGATCCAGAGAGAATGGAGGAGAAGAGATTGTGGCATGGCCATCCCCCCTGGGGGTGATTTCTCACTTTCTGTCTCTATCTCTCTTTCTGGCAAGCACACGCGCCCTATAGCAAAAACCTCTTCAAAAATAAAGAAAAAAAAGAAAGAAAGAAAAACATGGGACCAGCAACTCAGAAGGCCCTTTTGGTCACCACTGCTTCTCCAGGGCACAGATGTGTTTGCAAAAGTCCTCTCTAGCAGCAAGAATGATGGGCTGAAAGGGCCGAAACTGAACACAGAGAAATGGCGTAGGAGGCAGCAGCGATAGCCCGGGCCGGAGATGAGGAGGCCTGCTCTAGGCGATGATGGCAAAGCGGAGAGGAAGCCCGGGTTTGAAGAGTTCTCAGTGTGATAGACCTGACCATAGCCCATCTCAGAAACTAAAAAAAAAAAGAAAAGAAAAGAAAAAGAAAAACACACTGGGTGCTTGTGTGTGCATGCCCAAAATCCTGACTAGAAGGAGAAATAAAGAAAGGAGGATTTTGATGTGAACGTACTCTATTAGGGGATGCATCTGTCTCTTTCTGGTGAGTTCACACTCTTTGGAAATAAAAAAAAATAGGGATCATCAGTTGGCGTTATGGCTATGTTGCAGGACTCCCATGTAGTGGACCACGGTTCAAGTCCCGGACCTGGTGGCTTAAACTCATGCCGGGCACATGTGCATGTGTGCCCAAGATCCTGAGAGGAGAATGGAGGAGAAGGGATTGCGGTGTGGCCATCCCCCCTGGGGGGTAATTTCTTGCTTTCTGTCTCTCTGTCTCTCTCTGTCTTTCTGGTGAGCATTCGCACCCTACAGCAAAAACAAACAAACAAACAAACCAAAAACCTCCCAATAAATAAATAAATAAATAAATAAATAAATACATTTAAAAATAAGGTTGGGAATTTTCTTTTTTTCTTTTTTTAAGGTTTTTGCTTCAGGGAGCATACCCATTTGTCCAGGAATCTCCATTCCCACTTGATCTTGACAGCGAAAGGTATGTGTCTCTCCTGGCTTGCTCCTCTCTCCACTTGTTACCTTGGTTTCTTTCGGCTGCACACCTTTCATATTTCATATCAGTGTGATTCCTCCCCTTGCTCAGAGAGTAGATGTGCTCCTTTCTGGGGACCTGAATCTCGGATCCAGCTGGAGGTCTGGGAAGCAGGTCCTAGTTTTCCAGTTCAGCCATCTGGCTTGGTGGACCCCCAGAGTTGCAGGGTGAGGGCGGGTGTAACTGGCACAGTTGTAACTCTCTTTATGGAGTAAGGGCATTTTTCCTGAAGGTCCAGCCATTCTCTTGCTGAGGAGGCCTGGCACTGCTGATCCGAGCTGCTGCCTTGTCCTCCACAGGTCGCACCGCTGCAGCCCCTCCCACAGGGCCACTCCCCCTCATGAATGAGCAGTACCTCTTCATTTTCAGGTTCCTTCTTTGTCCCTCTGCAAGGTATGGGTTCCACCCAGGCCACCAGGGAGCACTGATGGCATAGGCCATTGATCCAGTCACTTCCTTCTGCTACCCACTGCCTGACAAAATGGAGGAACAGGCAGCAAGGGCTGGTCCAGACTTCTCCCTTGACCCGAGGGGTTTCTGTCATCTCTGCTCAGCACTTTTTCCAAAGAGAACCTAGTGTACCTCTCTTGAAAAGCCAATAGGTTTGCGGTTTTCTTCTTTGTTTTTTAAATAATGATTTTATTCACCATAATCATCACTTTAGTTGAACAGAGAAGATAAAGAGAGAGAAATTGAGAAAGCAAGCCGCCAGGTCTGACACTTGAACCGTGGTTAGCCATGTGGGAGTCCAACACCTTAACCACCATGCTACCTGCCGGCCCCACAATTCTCTTTTTTTAAAGAATTATTTAATTTTATTTTATTTGTTCATTCTTCTTTTTAAAATTCGACCAGAGAGAGACAGAGAGGGAAAGTGAGAAATCAAGCTGCCAGGTCCGGGACCTGAAACATGGTCAGCCATGTGGGAGCCCACTGCCTTAACCACCATTCCACCTGCCAGCCCCAAAGGGTATGCTTTTTAAAAAAAAAAAAAATATTTATTTTAATTTTATTTATTCATTCATTTATTTTTTAATTTGGCCAGAGAGAGACAGAGAGGGAAAGTGAGAAATCAAGCTGCCAGGTCCGGGACCTGAAACATGGTCAGCCATGTGGGAGTGTCCAGCACCTTAACCACCACGCACCTGCTGGTTGCCAAAGGTTTGTTTTTTATAGATCTCTTAAAAACTGTGTAAAATATGATTCCTGTTGCCTTGGCTCCTAGGAGGCTCAAAGTCAAATTTAATGCTGAAGGACAGCAAGGATCCTGAAGTTGTGTTTCAGGAAGCAGCAGCGTCCTTCTGTGCTCAGCATACTCAGGGAGTTCTCCAGACACGAACTTGAAACCTTTCCTGTGTAGGTCAGCCTTGCAGAGCTCTGTGTTCTACTGCTGCATCATGTCTAGGTCCTACAATTTTTTAAAAATTTATTTTAAAGAATTATGTATTTATTTAAGTCCATTTGTTATTATTATTTTTTAACTTGATCAGACAGAGACAGAGAGAGAAAGGGAAGGTGAGAAAGCAAGCCACCAGTTCTGGGACTTGAACAGCAGTCGGCCATGTGGGAATCCAGCATCTTAACCTCCACACCACCTGCTGGCCCCGAGGCCCTATAATTAAAAAAATAAGTGTTTATTGCCATTATCAAGCCACTGGGCCTGGGACTTGAACCACCGTCGGCCATGTGGGAGTCTAGTGTCTTAACCACTACACCAACTGCTGGCTACATTCCTTTTATAATACGCAAAAGTAAAGGAGCAAAAGGAAACAAAGTAGATAACCTACTCTACTACCTATTTTCAGAAAAAATATATGTATAATAAAGAATGATAAAACAAATGTGATGAGATGTTAAAATTGGCAAATCAGGGACCAACAGGTGGTGTGGGTGGCTGACATGCTGGATTCCCACATGGCCAGTTGTGGTCCAGGTCCTGGATTTGGCAGCTTGCTTTCTCACTTTTCTTCTCTCTCTCTCTTTTTAAAAACTAATTATTTATTTAATTATATTTTATTATTATTATTATTATTATTATTATTATTATTATTATTATTATTATTAAATTTGCTGTAGGGCATCATGCCATCTGCTGGCCCTTTTGTACTATTCTAACAATGGTACCTATAAATTTAAAATTATTTCAAGGGGCTAGCAGGTGGCACGGTGGTTAAGATGCTGGACTCCCACACCGACTGACAAAGGTTTGAGTCCCAGACCTGTGGCTTCCTTTTTAGTTTCCCCTTCTCTCTCTGACTCTCTCTGGTGAGGGTGCATATCCTGTACCATTTAAAACATAGTAATAATGAGAGGCTGGAGGTGGCATGGTGGTTAAGGGCGCTGAACTTCCATGTGGTCGACCGTGGTTCAAGTCCTGGATCTGGCAGCTAGCTTTCTCACTTTCTCTCTCTCTCTTTCTCTTGCTCTGTCTCTCTCACTCTGTTCCTCTCTGATCCAACTAAAATAAATGAAGTTAAATAAAATAATTCTTAAAAACATAATATAATAATAATGATAAATAAAACCAAATATTTCTTTTTAAAAATTATTTTATATATTTTATTTATTCATTTATTTACTTATATTTTAATTTTGACCAGAGAGGGTCAGAATGAGAGAAAAAGAGAGAGAGGGAAAGTGAGAAAGCAAGCCGCCAGGTCCGAACTGCAGTCAGTCATTTGGGAATTCAGTGCTCTTAACCACCAGTCCACCTGCCAGTCCCCAAATAAATAATTCTTCTTTTTAAAAAAGAACTATTTTATTCAACTTTATTTATCCATCTATTTCTTTTCTTTTCTTTTTTTTTTTTTTGAGAGATTTTTGCTACAGGATGTATGCACTTGCCAGGAAGACAGAGAGAGACAGAGAGACAGAAAGCGAGAAATCACCCCCCAGGGGGGATGGCCACGGAGCAATCCCTTCTCCTCCATCCTCCTCTCGGGATCCTCCTCTAGGGATTGTGGCCATGCATGCACACGCACCCGGCTTGAGTTTAAGCCACCGGGCTGGGACTCGAACCACAGTTGACTACATGGGAGTCCAGCAACATAGCCATTATGCCGACTGCTGGTCCCCAAAATAAAAAAGTTTTAAGACAAGAAATAAAGATGTCAAACACGATTTCTATGCCCAGCCCAGGCCATTGAGTTTGTAAAGCACTTATTTTCTTCCATTCAGCGGCCTTTACACAGGACGGATAATTCTTTCCCAGCTTCATACTTCCCTGGGAGTGGCTTTGATGTCTCTGGGAACTGAGGGCCTGTAAAAGGCCTGTAGGACAGGTCTGCTGCTGGAGAGAGCGCCTTCTCCCTGCTCTAATCAAAGACTCTAGCCGAGGTTCTTATTTCTCAGTTCCCTATCTCTCCTATTTCATTTCCAGGAACCAACAGTTGTAGGAAAAAAGATAGTGGCCCTAGATAATAGTGGGTCTTTTTATTGTAACTGTTTTGTGCAATAAAATGGACTAGTTGTGTGCACTTGAGTATTTCAAGGGTCTGTGCAGCGAGAGTTACCGGGAGTTGGACTTAACTGCATTGTTACTCACCTATCTCTCTTATTCAGGGTTCAGCTCACTTCAGAACCACAATTATCTGAAGCTCTCAGTTGCTGCCTTGAATGGAGGTGGGAATTCTGCTGCAATGTTTTGTAGAAAAGCTGTGCTCGTTGTGGCTATAATATAATCACTATATGATTCATAATTAATTCTAATCAGTGAGTACATACTGCCTCTACAGATACTGTGCCTCTTTTCAACTACACATTAAAAATCCTGTGCTCAAAAAAAAAAAAAAAAAAAAAAAAAAATTCTGTGCTCAGGCCAGTTGGTGACATGGTGGTTAAGGCAGCTGGATCCCATGAGGCTGGCTGTGCAGTTTGAAACCTGATGGCTTGAGAAACATGCCAGACACATATGCGTGTATGCCCAAAATCCTGAGAGGAGAATGGAGAAGGGATTGCACAAGGCTATCCCCCTGGTGAGTGTTTTCTCACTTTCTCTCTCTCTCTCTCTCTCTGTTTCTCTCCTGTGAGTGCACACACCTATAGCAAATCAGAATGATAAAAACTCCTATGCTCATGGTTTACTCAGGAAGGGGTACAGATTGGAGTAGTTGAAGGTCTTATAGTTTTAGGATTTAATTGGCATTTGAGTTTATTTTTTAACTAAACACACATACAAACACAAACACACCTGCTTGAATCCTTTGAACAACAGAGACTACAGTCCTAGGAAAACAAAAACAAACATGCTGATCCAGACACGAGTGAATCTGTAGAGTAACAACGAGAAGAAATAAGCAAATATATTGGGCACCTACATTGAAGGAGGGCCTGCTCTTTGCTTGGCCCAGCTGGACCCCTTGGTACCAAGACTAAGCCCAGCAGGTTGCTACCTCCAAGAAGATAGTATTCCAGGGAACCTGCACTGGCTCAAGTATGATCTCATTTAAGCCTTGCAATATTGTGAGGTAGGGATTAAGATTCCACAGTCACCTTCGCTAAAACTGAAGCTCCAGGGAAGCTTAGGTGCTGGGCCGGCTTCACAGGTGTGTTACCCGTGCAGTCACACGCAGTCCTATGCTCAAAAGGCCTCTGTACTTGGCTCTGCTGTTGCTGTTTTCAAATTCTTTTTTTTTTAATGGAACTTCTTATTTTTATTTTTGTTTTAGAGACTTTTGTTATAGGGCACAGGTGCTCATCTGAGAGAGAGGGAGAGAGACAGAGACCGTGAGAGGGAAAGTGAGAAATCACCCCTTGGGAGGATGGCCACACCATCACCCCTTCTCTTCCATTCTCCTCCTGGGATCTTGTGCACATAGCATATGATTTTCAAGCCACTGGTTCTGGGACGCAAATCGTGGTTGGCCATGTGGGAGTCCAGCCATGTAACCACTATGGCCATCTCAAAATTTGTAATGATTTTGATCAAGAGGACTTGCATCTTCATT